CCCTGTTGATGACGTCAGCGACGCGGTTTAATCGGGCGCGGCTTAGTCGAGCGCGGTTTTGTCGTGCCACGACTTTGGGCCAGTCAGCCAGTCACGCGCTCTCAGCCCACAGGGTTGTTGTGGGGAAAGTAGTCGTAGGAAGAAATATTAGACGTATGTTCACCACCTTGAGTTATATGAGAAAATAATAAAGGAGGGAAGGAAGGAAAGGAAAGAGGAAGAGAAGGAAAAGAAAGGAAAGGGGAAGGAAAGGAAAGAGCAAGGAAGGGGCTTTTTTCAGGGCTGTTGTAACTTTGGTCACTAAGCGAATGGTTCTAAGTTGAGGACTGCCTATATTGGAGATGCAGACAGCAGAGTACTCAAGTCTGGCAAGATTTTGTCTACAGGTGTGAAATAATAATAATAATAATAAAACTTAACATGGAAGGAGCACCACATCTCATTCTTGGTTTGGACATGACCTCATCCTATCTGCAGGCCCACTCACCCTGGTCAGCACAGGTTATTTGAACCAGCCTGTTTTCTATTGCATTCCCCGGATGGTGCAGTGGTTAGAATGCAGTGGGTGTCACAATGGGTCCACCAGGATGGGAAGTCCACCATAGAACCTTCAGCTCTGAATCCTGCTGGATTTTAGGAAGGTGGGGAGAATAAGAGCTTCCTGTTAGTGCACGGAATTCTGGGAGTTGAAGTTCACCCATCTGGAGGTTGCTGAGGTTGAGAAACTGGTCTAGGCAATACAGTTGGTTATCAGCATTTAGCAGGCTGTTAAGAGCCCCGGTGGCGCAGTGGTTAGAATGCAGTATTGCAGGCTGACTCTGCCCACTGCCAGGAGTTTGATCCTGACCAGCTCCATCCTTCTGAGGTTGGTAAAATGAGGACCCAGATTGTTGGGGGGCAAGAGGCTGACTCTGTAAACTGCTTAGAGAGGGCTGTGAAAGCATTGTGAAGCGGTATATACTGTAAGTCTTAAGTGCTATTGCCCTTCCAATCTCTTCTTTAAAATCTTCCTTCCTTCTTTCTTTCCTTCCTTCCTTCCTCCCTTCCTTCTTTCCTTCCTTCCTTCCATCCATCCATCCATCCTTTCCAATGCAGTATTGCAGACTGACTGCTCACTGCCAGAAGTTCGATTCTGACTGGCGCAAGGTTGACTCAGCCTTCTGTCCTTTTGAGGTGAATAAAATGAGGACCCAGATTGTTGGAGGCAATATTGCTGGCATTGTAAACCACTCGGAGTGCTTTTCAGCACTGTGGGGGCAGAATGTCTGTCTAACTGTTACCACTATTACATCTTTTCCAATGCTGGCTGTTGTCCTCTATGCAGGCTATGGAAACGGAACTCCTTCCCCTTCTAGAACACGACCGCTTTCCGGAGAGTTCTAAAGCTTCGGCGATCCGTGCTGTGTATTCCTTGTTGTGTGAAAGCGGAGAGCACGTTCCTGTTCTGGTGAAGGATGAAGAGCTATCCAGCTGAGCTGATGTGAAAATGGATGACCAGCAGCCATGCCTAGGAAGCTGTTCACTTTTGGCCTCCATCCTTAAAATTCCAGCCTTTCATGGCAGGTGACAGTCAGGGCAGGTCCCTCAGCCTCTTCACCTGCGTGCCACTTGTCCAGCAAATAAAACAGATTTTGTACCTCCTCATTCACTTTTTAAACACATACCCCTTCCTCCCCCCCTTTCCCATTTACGGCTCTTCTGCCAAAACTCAGACAAGTGTGTTCTGACCGAGGCTTCCCAAGAGCAGGAAGCCAACTCCTGGTCCTGATGAAACCCCTTTTATTTAGTTTAAAGGGAATTCCTCTCCAGCAAAGTCCCGGCCAACAGTCTTTCATGAGATTTCACAACTACAGGCCTTGATCAGGCTTGGAGAGCTGCCAGGCCGGTATCTTCCAAATTCCGCACTGTAGCAGCAATTACTTGGCAAGAAGTCAGGAACAGAACTTCACCCTTATGAATGGAACTAATTGTCTCCTGCAAACTCCACTCCCCTTTGGCTCCTCTTTTATTTACTCTGGGAGGTGCCATTCATCGTCCACCTGCAGCCTTACTCCCAAGTAGCTCTCTATTCTTTAGCTGTTCCCTTCCTCCAGCAACTCTCTGCATGCACACACTGGGAACAGGCTCCAGCTGTTTGTCTGCCTCACTGCTGTCTGACTTTGAAGGCAGCTGATAACTGGCATACGGCCCTGGCCCTCTCTCTGCCTCCGACACAGAGCCCTCATCAGAGCCTTCCCCGGACTCCAGGACTGACCCATGTTCCTCCCCAACCTCCTCACTGTCCGAATCTGCCGCCAGCTCCACTGGC